AGCCTGGTCTACAGAGTGAGTTCCAGGACAGCCAGGGCTACACAGAGAAACCCTGTCTTGAAAAAACAAAACAAAACAAAAAAACACACACACATAAAGTAGATGGATGGGTGGATGGATGGAGCTGTTCCTGTTGGGAAGGAAGAAGAGAGAAGTGGCCTCCTAGGGTCTTTTCCTAGGTGGCATTAGTGTCCTATTTCTCCTCAGGGAATGGAGGATCTGTTCCCAGAAGATGGTTGGATAGGCAGCAGGAATACACATGTGCAGTGTCTCAGGGTGGGCCCCAGCACTGCAGCAGTCAAGCGGCCTCTCTTCCCCAGGTACCTGGCCAGTGGTTCCGGAGACACCACCGTGCGCTTCTGGGATCTCAGCACTGAGACACCGCATTTCACATGCAAAGGTCAGTGTGTATTTAACCACTTAAAGGGGTCTTAGTGCATACCAAGTGGTTAGCTCGGTAGCTCCTGGGAGGACTCAGAAGAATCCAACCCATTAGCGTCCTGTTCACAGTTGTCTGTTCCTTGAGGCCAGTCAGCCACTTAAAAAGAAACAGATACTGGACGAAGTGTGGGCTGTGGGGAGGAGCTGAACCATTGGTTATGGGGACAGCTTGACTTAACGTCAGCCTCTGCCACAAAGGGTCCCAGATGTTAGCACAGGTGGGAATCACCTGGAGAGCTTGTTGAAATCAAGTAGTCCCTAACCACTCCCCACACCCACAACCTGTACTCCCCAGAGCTTTTGTTTCAGCAGATCTAGGGTGGGGCCTGAGTACATTTCTAAGAAGTTCTAGGTCTGGGGACCACATAGACGAGTCCAATACATGGCATACTTTTGCATCTGGAGACTGAGGGTAATTCTTTTCATCCTAGAGCTGATATAAGAAGGGATGGTACATATAGAAACAGCTCATACCATATGTCAGGTACAGAGTTAACTAGGAAGTGGCAGTGTTATCTGCAGTAAGCTGCAGCTGTAGCTTTTGGCTGTGTTCTCCCTCACCTCTCCTTTAATTCAGTTCCTTTGACAATTGGTTAAAGAGAGTTTGGTGTACTATGCACTGCTGGGTACTAGCTCAAGCTAAAGGTAACCAGAGCTTCTTTTTCCCTCCCCTGCTTTCTTAGGACACCGGCACTGGGTCCTTAGCATATCCTGGTCCCCAGATGGCAAAAAACTGGCCTCGGGCTGCAAGAATGGCCAGGTAGGTAACATCAGGATCAATGGACAGAGAATGGCCTCTGGAATCTTTAGAAGGATGTGTTGGGGGGTTGGGGGGAGGGTCAGCTGGGAGATCCTTGGCGGGACAGGTTGTAGAAAGATATCTTATGAACCTCTGTCCTTCAGATTCTCCTGTGGGACCCAAGCACAGGGATGCAGGTGGGCCGGACCCTCACTGGCCACAGCAAGTGGATCACAGGCCTGAGCTGGGAGCCCCTTCACATGTAAGTGGCCCCAACCTGAGACACATGAGCTGGGATTAATGCTGCCTCCTTCCCCTGCTCAGTACAGAGACATTTTTTGGAGACAGTAAAAGAAACATCCAGATGACAGCCACACCTTGGCCTACCATGGTCACACCCTCTGCTGCTTGGAGGAGGTGGTTCATTATGTCATCTGAGCACAGCTTTGTTATGCTGTCAGAGAGCTGTTAAGAGATTGTCCCAGCCTCTTTGAGTCCAGAATGAGACAATATGGGCAGACTGGTGCTGCCAGGTCAGACCTGAGATCACATTTCCCCCTTCACCAGGAACCCCGAGTGCCGCTATGTGGCCAGCAGCTCCAAAGATGGCAGTGTACGAGTCTGGGATACAACTGCAGGCCGCTGTGAACAAATCCTCACCGGGCACACACAGTCAGTCACCTGCCTCCGGTGGGGAGGAGATGGGCTTCTATATTCTGCTTCCCAGGACCGCACCATCAAAGTCTGGCGGGCCCATGATGTAAGGGTTGAGAGTATTCGGAAGACCAGTCTGATGGGTTACGGGTGCCAGTGCCCTTCTGGGTACAAACTTGTCAGAGAGTCTGGTATTTCCAGAATTGTACCAGAAGTCCAGCCAGTGCTTCTGGAGAAGTAGCTCAGTACAATGCTGGGGGGTGGGGGGGAGGGTGTTCTGGGTGTTTTTTAGAGCCTGTTTAGTTGTTTGCCAACTACCACACTCAAACCCATTTGATCTGGTAAACCCTTTTATTCAGTGTACTTCTCTGCCCTAGAGAGGGGATTGGGCTTCCGGGTGCAGTTTGACGAGATGACCATGCATCAGTGATGAATCCTTAGGTTCCTGATTCTTGTCTTATGTCACCTGTCCAATGGTGGGGTTTGGGGTGTGATCTCTCCCCTAGATACTAGGTGTATATGTGTATTTCTGTGTATGTCTGACCTGTCTCTGTCTGCTCTAGGGTGTGCTGTGTCGTACTCTTCAAGGTCATGGCCACTGGGTGAACACCATGGCACTTAGCACAGACTATGCCCTGCGCACAGGGGCCTTTGAACCTGCCGATGCCACAGTGAATGCCCAAGACCTGCAGGGGTCCTGTGAGTGAGAGGGAGGAGGGGAGCAGATTGCCTGCGCAGGAGCCAGTTCTCCTGCCTAGTGGGTAGATGTTTAACCAGTCTTGTCCTGTTTATCTTGTTCCCCATACCTGCACAGTGAAGGAGCTGAAGGAGAGGGCTTCCAGCCGCTACAACCTTGTGCGGGTGAGTATGTGCTCCCAGCATGCAGCCCCAGCTCAGGATTCTTTTCATCTGATCACAGAAACTCCACAGTCTCTTGGACCTCTCTCCCTTCTTGCCCCAGTTCAGTGTTTCTGTTCCAAAAAGTTGTTCTCGGTCATCATCATTATCTTCAAATCTTAACACACTAGGTATCATTTAACTTGTATCTTATTACCACCTTTGTCTTTCCTTTGTTGTCTAAGGAGCACATTCATATGGTCTAAGGTTCAAAAGATAGAAAAAGACTACGAGACATCTTCCATCTTTCACAAGTCCTGCATTGTTCCCTTGGGAAGCATTCAGTGCTACCAGTGTCTGATAATCCCTGATGTCAGCATGCACAGACTGTGTATATGTACAGCTCACATGTGAGAGCCATCTCCCACCCCCCTTAGCACCATTCTGTACCTTGTATCTTAGGGCTCCTTCTACGTATGTACAGAATTCCCTCTCCTTACAGGCTAGCCTGGAGTTTCATGTCAGCCTGTGTCCCTGCTGGCCACATTTCCCTAGTTCTGGCCTCAGTCACTGTTGCATAGCCAGTATCTGACCACATATCCAACACGGTGTGCTTTCTTGCCCAGGGCCAAGGCCCAGAGAGGCTGGTCTCTGGCTCAGACGACTTCACCTTATTCCTGTGGTCCCCAGCAGAGGACAAGAAGCCCCTCGCCCGGATGACAGGACACCAGGCCCTCATCAACCAAGTGCTCTTCTCTCCTGACTCGCGAATCGTGGCCAGTGCCTCCTTCGACAAGTCTATCAAGCTGTGGGATGGCAGGACGGGCAAGTGAGTGGAAGAGGGGAGGCTATCCCTTATTAGCAGTGGGGTTTGGCATGAACTTGATGACACTGCTTGCACTTTGTGTGGCACTGGCTGGATCTGATTTCCTCGCCCACACTTCTGACACATAGACCTCTCACCTCAGCACTGAATTTGGATTGGTAAAATGGCATCTTTAGGGCTAGTGACAGGGCCAGGGATGTAGAGAAGGTGAACAATAGCTAGAAATGTGTCCACACACCCAGAGGGTACTCCACACACCAGTGGCACCAGCATCTCTTGACAAAAGCAGAATGCAGGGATTTAAAGAGATACCATATACTGCTCTTGCAGGGGACACAAGTTCAAGCCCCAGCACCCACATCAGGCAGTTCTCACATGTAATTCAAGTTCCAGGCCTTTGGCCTCCACAGGTACCTGCAGTCATCTATTTAATAATAAAAATATACCTCTGTGCTGAGCAGTGGTGGCTCACGCCTTTAATCCCAGCACTTGGGAGGC